CGGGTGCCATGTTCCGGTACCAGGATAGTATATGAGGATCGGAGTGTCACGTTCTGACACTAGGATAGAATATGGATCGGGTGTCACGTTCCGGCACCAGGTTAGTAAAGAGAATGAATCTTTAAATATGTTAATATACTCAATTTAATGAACCTAATTCCCAAATGAGTATGATGGAGAGGCGTGAGTCCTCATTGATGTGCTTGGTGTTGTGACCAAGGGTTATGGTAATTGTAATTGCCGCATGTTGAGTATTGTAGTTGATTTTATGAGATTATCTGATATATAGTGTTTTCTATTTTGAGTTGGCCGATGAGATCTACTCAGTACCTGTGTTTTGTACTGACCCCTACTTGTATGTTTCTTCCTTTGTTATTGTGGAGAACAGCAAACGTACCATCGTCTTCAACTCAATCGCAAATCTAGCCAATCTTCATTACACCGGATTTCAGGGTGAGCGAACGCTTCTAGCTTGGACTGGATCTTCTTCTTCATGTCTTGATGCCTTGAAGTTCCGGCATGGACTAGCTTTTTATTTATTCTAAGCTTTCTAGATACTATTAGAAATAGTAATTTGAGGATAGATGTTCTTGTGATGATGACTTCCTGATTTTGGGGATAATGATAAGTTTTGAGTTTTAAAAGTTATTATTGAGCTTTAAGTCTGAACAGAGCGCTTTCTTTCCGGTCATTGGCAAGCGCAGCTTTCACACCCGCTTATGTTGTGGGTGGGATGAAGGCATCTATCTTATTATATTATATGGAAGAAGATCGTTAGATGGTTAGCGGCTAGAACAAAACAAGGGGAGTTCTATGGAGGTTTCCAAGCAGAAGTGCAAAGCAATTGAGATGCATATAGAATAGATGGTAGGGTTCCAAACCTCGCCTAGCACCGAAAGAGAAGGCCTTGTTTTGAAGGGTACGGCCCTGGACAGTAGAAAAATAGAATAAGATGGAGCCTACCTACTTGGTTCGGACGAAGTAGATAGATCAAAGGAATGGAATCCAGGTGGCTCTTATGCCACTTTTGATGGTCTCGGTTCGGACGAGATGAATGGAAAAGCATTAGGTTGATGGCCGGGGTAATTTCCTTCCCACTCCGAGGCATATTGATTTGGATCCCTGGGAACAGGTCTTAGAGAAGTAGATGGCTCGGCTCCACTGGGCGATGGGAAACTATATGCGGAGTTAGAGGCAGAGGGACTTGTACTTGGCTAACCGTCAGAGGGATGGTAAGTAGATTGTTCGATAGATTACCCACGAAGATGGATTTTATTCTGCTCGGCCACCGTAGTACTAAGACTGAAAGCCTGCTAGGCAGTCTACACAGAAGGGAAGTCACCAAACGTGGGAAAGAGTACCTTTTTCTTACTCGAAGGAACCGCTACAATAGGATTAAGACAAGGATGCCTTATTGTTTGGACATTCATTAAGGATAGACCTAGGATTGAAAGAGTCGCAATAGATGGATAGCATCTTCAAGGGATTGATGGCTTCTTCAGGAAAGGCATGGCCTCCAGAGGATGAGGACTTTTTCGGAAGGATAGAGTCATTGTATTCCCGAGTACTGATTCTATTTAAGGATGGTATTCTATTGAATGAAGGCTACCTTCTTACTTGGCAGGATGGGGTAGACAGATATAGTATGATTGGATTGATGGATGGTGCACTATCCTTCTCCCAATCATTTCTCAGAAAAACCAATGAGTACAACTTATTAAAGGAAAACTACGAAAAAGATCTTAGAGCTAGCTGTCTCAATCATCCACAGCTCCGGATTAATGTGCTCTTTTTTATGCTGGAGTCATAGCTTATCTCAATTTTTATTCCCACCCTTACAAGCTCTTTAAATAAAATGAAGATAAGATGATAACTTATCGTCTGCATCTATAACTACTTCTGGTTTATATACACTGCTAAAAGGTTGAAATCCAAACGATTAGGTTAGGGCAGGGTGGAGTTCCTTTTTAGCACTGTTCTTTTAGGTGTAGTTCCGTCAAGGCACCAAGATCAAACTCCGGCCGGGAGGGGATGAAGACTTGATAGGTGTAGTGACTTAGATTCCATGGAGTACCGTTAGACTTGCATGTAGTTCCGTCTAATCAAGGTATAAAAGAAAAAGAAAAGTCGACCTTTTCTTTTCCACGCTTTTTTACATTTCCGTTCAAATACGTTGCTCGACTTGCGCCTTTGCACACTCGACCGCTCCCCCATCCCGCCTAGCCCATTCTAGTGGGGAATAACCTCAATCCGTAGAAGCTGCATCCTCAAGGGCTGAGTGATTATGCCAGTGATCAAGATATCAACCACATAAATAGGTAGTAAAATGGTTATGGACCCACAATGACGAAAGGTAAGTGATGCGTCAGACTTAGAAAATCTTAGGCCAAACTAAATGTTGATTAGTGAAGACAAGAAAGATTTTAAGTGTAGACGACTACTTGTACTTGAAATTCCATTCCTTTATCCGGTGGGAGGGTTTAGAGCCAGTTAAGCCAATAGCATATCTAGCAAAAGCTTCTGTAACACCAGCTACATTAGTAGATCATTGATTAACATACCTCCTCTGAATAGTCTATGTGGACCCTAGTTTCTATTACTATTAATTCGAATTAATCCAGTAATGCATACAGCCTTTACTCTCTTAAAGAGCAGGAGGTTTAGCGTCAACTAATTCAATGAATGTTCTTTCGTTCACCACACGGATGAATCCTACTCTATATTTTCCAGCGGACAGTCATTTGTCTAAAGAGAATAGACATATAGCAGCTCTCTCTCATAACAGAATGAAAGCAAGCAAGAATGAAATGAGCGCTTACCTTATCGACCGAAGCTACTATCCTAAAATAAGAAACTCCTTAATTAAAGAACTACAGGAAAGGTAATATACTGAGCTAGCCTCCCGTTATGCACCAATGTTTGAAGAGGACCGTTAACCTTTACCAAAAGAAAGAAGGGCTATTGGTCAGTTTCCTATAGTTGACCGATAGAGCTCTACCTATTGAGACAGGGCAGATGCAACCGATGGAAGGGATCTAATTTGAAGAAGGAAGTCATTTGTGGACTGATTTCGAACCTTTACCAGAAGAAAAGAGGTTCACGCTATGGCTTCAGAAGAGGTATTCATTATACAGATATCATTTAATGAATTGCCCGATTGCCGATTCACTGCACCTACCTATCTTCAATCACCCTGGAATGTTCACTTGGCCGCCTACCAATGATGCCTTTCACTTTCAGACAGTTCCTCGCGCATGAAAGGACTTCACTCATAATGTCAAGATAAGAAAGGATGGTCTACGATCAGGGAATGCCTTTTTTGTTAAAGAGAATTGGCCACAGAGAGAGCGCTTATCTCTCATAAGAGAAGGAGAGCCACTTTTTTTAGAGTATATTAATGAGTAGGACTGAAATTCCAAGCGCTCCTAGCTCAGAAACCACACATAGACAAACAGATGGAGGCCCATAAAACCCAACAATAATAGACTAACAAATATACGTGACATACACTTCCTGTGTGAAGTTTTCATCTTAATGAATCAAAGCTCTTTGTAAAATGCTACTTTTCTTTCTGCAACAAGTAAGAGTACTTTTTCTTATCATACACCCTTATGAATGAATGAATAAAAAAAATGAGACTCCTAAACTAGCCCCCCTCCTCAGTTTCTTCAAAGACAGAGGTACACATCACAGGAAGAAACCCCAAAAACAGAAAGAGAAAGAAGTAAGTAAAAAAAATAGGAAATACTGCTAGATGGCTACCAGATTAGCAGCAAAGTACGCTTTTTAGTTCCTTTTGGCACAACAAAACAAGGTAGTAATACGGGAGAAGGTGGTCAAGTAATCTTCTCCAGCAGGTTGGCCATAGTGAGATAGAGTGGTGAAACTGGGTTTCGAATAAAAAAACAGAGCGAGCGGGTTAGGCAAAAGCTATGACATTGGAATCCGCTTCAAGGTAAGCCCCACTCCACTAAATTGGAGAATTCCAGAACACGTATCAGAGAGTGCTCTAATGGCAGTGGGGCACAATTGAGATAATTTCGACGATTAGAAAAGAAAAAGAAGAAGGTTAGTGTTCAATGAGCTCGAGATAGCTGCCTGATGAGAGGAAGGGACGCCGGGTACAATCTTTCTTTGGTTCCAGCCCCTCGGTTACACCAAAGCACACCAGTCAACACTGTACTATAGCGCTTACACCTGTGAGTTGGCAAAATAATATCGTATGTTAATAAAAGAACTGAGTTGGCGACAAAAAAAAGCTAACGCTAACTAAGTGTTTAGTTACCATGCCCAAAAGCCCCATGCCTTTCCTGGTTGGATAACCAAATCCAACCGGCGATTTCCTACAAGTTTCTCTTTTTTTTGGGGAAGCTAAGAAAGGACAAAGAAAAATGAATATCATGTTTACACCGATCGGATTTCAAAAAGTCCTTCGACCCTTACCTTTTATTCATTCTATGATTCTCCTTTCTACCCTTGTTTTGACTACCTGTCTCCTGTCTCATTAGATTGGCTTTGATCCCTACCTTATTATAGAGAGGGTCAAAGGTTCTTTTTTACTCTATGCCTTACGTGCTCTTTTTAGGCTCTTTGGTTTGGAAATACCTATCCTTCTTCTTTCGCACGTCGCTTTGGTAGGCGGTTGCAGCAGCTTTCAAATGGAGGATAATTCCGCTGGAGGAAGGGCGGTGGATTCAGGGTCGGGGTCGGATAATTGGAAAAAGTACCTCAACTTATCCAAGGAAAATGACTCCACCGCATCAGCCTCTCCCCCGTCGTCCTCTTTTTTCAGAGGACTTTTGGACATGTCCAATGCACTGGACCTTGGGGAGGAAGTGCAGCAAGTGAGCCCTACTCATTCCATATCCCAAACGGATCTATGGAATTCACCTTCCTCGTCGGCTCCAACCCCAGGTCAGGATAATCCACCGCCCCTGATCCCAGAGCTCCACCCTTCACTTTTCGATGAAGACACCCGTCGAGCGGAGCTTGCAAGTAGGTTAAGAACCGTTTTATGGGGGAAAGCTTATAGGGAAGAAATGATAGAATCCGTTGTTGATACGCAAGTGCAGATTGAAAAACATATTCAAGCTGCACTTGTGGGACGGGACTATTCGGTTGAGTCTCTTCTTGCGAAGAGGCACCAGATCAGGGGGCTCATCTTCTACCCAATGGGAGAAGCGCTTAGTGAAAGGACTTACGCTTTGCACATGAAGGAGATTCTCCAGTTGGGTAAAGTGCAAAGCCTTCCATTTTGGCGGGTTGAAAGGGCCATAAAGGACTTTAATCTCTTTCTTGAACTTGAAAGAGCGTAAATTCTTCCATTTTTGATCCAAATTTCCCACTCTTTCTGTGAGGCAAAACCTCACCACACTACACTACACTTCGACACAAGAGAAGAGGATCGGGCGCTTTGTATCTTCGGGATAGGAGTTGGCGGTCTTCTTTAAGAGAACTTCAATCTAATATTCATTATGAATCAACTCATGTTTCCACTCTATTCTCATTACGAGGATATATCAAGTCAGGATCCGTTGCTCAAACCGAATCACGCAAACATTATGGAAGTTTCTGGATCGTGTAAAATAATAGTAGTACCAAAGACAGCACCTTCTATCAAAAATGGAAAATTGGCTATGGAGATTCTGTGCAGCCAGAAATTAAAACAAAGGGCTTCAACAGGAAAGTCATTTCGATCCAATCCATTCTTGGGGTCAAATAAAAACAAAAAAGGATATGTCAGTGACCTAGCACGACAAAGCACTCTCCGAGGGCATGGAATGTCACATTTTTGGTCAAAATATCCACAGTAATGTCTCTGTTAGATTCTCCACTCGAAATAAGGGAAAGGTCAATTCAATTCTCGATGGAAACGGAACTTTGGGAATTCTCCCCCAAACTGGAAGATCATTTCGAGATCTTCTAACATATTCGAGGGTTCAATGTTACTATTGTAACCTCGGACAACACACAAGATGATACTTTACCACCGTGGAGTGGCTTTTTGCAAAAAGATGAGGGCGAAACTCAGTAAAATGTCGGAGAAGCGAAATATACGAGATCACAAACGTAGATTGCTCGCGGCTAGGCTAAATATGAATTGAGACGAAAGCTTTATAAAGCCCTTTGTAAAGATCCCGATCTTCCTAGTGATATGCGGGACAAACAACGTTCTAAGTTATCCAAGTTGCCAAGAAAGAGTTCCTTTGCACGAGTAAGAAACCGATGTATTTACACGGGTCTCCCTCGTTCCGTATATAAGTTCTTCAAAATTTCTCGTATCCTTTTTCGTGGATTAGCATCTCGAGGTCCTTTGATGGGCATAAAGAAATCGTCTTGGTAGCAACCACCAAACCAATAGAACAAGGGTTTGCTCCGCAGTAGGTCTACAAGCAAGGTAAGTAGGTCCATTACCAGCCAGCTCCGGACCAAAAAAACCTAACGGACTAATCCCTTATCTAGGATCGTAGATGCTAACGGGGCGGGAATCGAAGTGGGGGACCCCTCTACCGCCTGTGTCTGTCTCCTGTCAAGTATGCTCCCTAGACATAGACTAGGTACAGGGTAGTACTCTTGGAAAGATAGAATATCACCGCCTGAACATAACATGTAATGTTGTTACGAATGTAACTCCCAAAGGGTCGACCACTATTCTAAATATAGTATGGCGGAGAACTGTTGTTCAGTGGAGCGCCGGAGTGCGGAGGTTGTTCCCATTATTGAAGTAAGGGTGTGGGACTGAGCCTTTCGAATGAGAAAGAAGAAAAGTGGTTAGTTTCGTTGGAAAAACCAACGCAAATATCATATTGACTTTCTCTCGCCCTACTTCTAAAGATAGATAGAAAGGGTTGGAGAGAATTTTAGAAAGTCATTCTCTCCTTTCTAAAGTTGCGCAAGGCGGCCCCCCAGAACATAGCCCACCCCTCTTTTCCCCCCTTTAATGAAGGACCCTCGCCTCACTTCCTATTCATTTGTGGGTCTGGACCCTATTTTTTTTTCAATTTTGAGAATCAACGAACGGAAAAATCCGTAGCCCAGGTGACTCACAGCCTCCCTCTA